TCAGGAAATCCTTCTCTGTTTGTGAAGCGGGCAGCCGACTCCTAGAGCACATAAGCAACGACGCGGCCAACCTCGCGCGAAAAATTCAAACATCATATGGGCTTGAGACCGAAGCTCGTCGGGCATATCACCATTGACAGAAGCTGACCCCGCGGAGACACAAAACGGCACGAAATGGGCCGCGAAATGGCCTGGGCGCCCTGGGCAACGATTACCCTTGTGCGGGACGGCGAAATGGGCGCCCCCAGCAGCCCCCCCCCCCCCGCGGCGCGGGCCACCCGTCACCCTCCATCATGGCATGCCGCAGCGGAGGCGGGCTCTTTATAGCGAGCTTGCGAGGCAGCCCCCAGGGCCCAGGTGCTGGCGGAATCGAGGCTGGAGCGCGATCCGCCCTGGAACTCTCAGCCGCAGCTCGAACCTAGAATGTTTTACTGCCTGCTTAGCCTTGGGCTTTGGACGGCTTGGGGCGAGGCAAAGGCACGAAGAGCCCTCGTCGTCCTAGCTCGAAGTCGACGCGCATTGAGGCCCACGTCGAGCTTCCATTCATAGTGGCATGCGCCTGCCTTCTCGGCCGCTCGAGAACCTGCAATCGAACTCGAACCCGTGGCCGCGCCGACTCGGACACGACCGTGGCATCGCGCGCGCGCGCCTGCCACCCAGCGCGCGCGCCAGTCGCGTTCGCCAGCACTGCGACGGCGCCCCCGACCAACGAAAGCCAACGCGTAGACGAGAACACCGGAGGGCTCATTGCCTAATCTCCGACGGCAGTCGAAGGGCCCGACACCGCAGTGACAAACGTGCCCGCGCCGTCGAGCTGACGAGCTCTAGCCTTCGGCCCGATCGAAGACGCCACGCACGCCCTAACAAGAAGCCGCGACTGACCTCGAGCCTGAAGCTGCAGGCCCACCAAATCGCGAAAGCCGATACCAAGCTAAGACGCACCACCACCAAGATCGCGAATGTCAACTTGGTGACGAGTCTCAGACGCAAGGAGGCGAAGTGTCTGGAAACGACACTGGCACCTCCTGCGCGAGCGCTGGCACCTGTTTCGCGCGGCGCCGAAAGAACTCCAGCGTGCGATGCCGCGGACGAGTTCGCAAAGCGAGGTGCCGCCCTCCATGGAGTGGAGGAGAGCGAGCACCGTCTCTGGCCTGGCCTAGTTGGGGCCTCGAGGGAGGTGGGGCGGAGGAGCGGTCGGCTGCACGCGCTGGCGGGGGACGGCGAGGCCTGCCAGGACCACGACGATGTAGTGGAGTGCTACGTGGCAAGCCGCGAGCTGGAGGCCCCGCCAGACGAGCCGGGGGCCGCCCAGCCCTGTGGGGCTGGGGCTGGCGCCTGCGGGCGCGGAGGGCCCCACTCCGTCGGCTCCTGCGGAAAGCGTCGCCGGGTACCGAGGGATGGGGTACAATTTCAGCGGGCACCCGCTGCGCAAAGAGCGTGTGCCAGGTCGGGGCGCGGCGGTGGCAAGGCCATCAATGTCTGCTGCGCGTGCGGGGCTGTCTTCAGCTCCGAGTGCCCTTCCGAGGCCCTCATCCTGCCGTGCCTCAGGGAGCTCGCGGGATCGGGTCTGAAACACCAGCTGGCCTTGCTCAAGGCTGGCAAGTACCCCTCTTACAAGGCGGGTCTGAAGGACCTCTGCCTTGTTCCCCCAGTCGGTGTTCCGCTGGGCGTGCGGGACGTGGGGAGTGCGGGGCTGCGTGGCATGGGCACTTCCGGGGGGGGGGGGGGGAGACGCCCCGAGAAGGAGTGCCGGGGGGATTCGACCTCCGAGAGTCTGACCTGGCGGGCACACGTGCTGAGGGGGCCAGACTCCTGCGCAAGGACGCAGACAGTGGGCCCGAACGGGCCCACGATGTTGATTTCGAGGAGGCCTCTGAGGCCTCCAGCGACGGTTGCTTGCTCGTCTCATCTCATCTCATCCTGAACCCAGCAGCGGTGTATACGCCACGCCCTCCTGGCTTGTCCAGGAGGGCGTATACACAGCTCCTGGGCGCAGGAAGGGCCTGGTCATGGGCAGTGGATACAGTCAAAAGTGATAGTAAGGATGCGCGATAAGGATGCAAGCACCTTTGACGTCCATGTCGAGGCTATTCGAGGGGGACTGGCAATCGAAAGTGCTTCAGGCTGGACCAACGAGGCAAGGATGCAAGAGTACCCTTAGGAAGGGGACCCATCATTCCAATGGGTTTCGACTGTATGGAATGATTTCGTCGCCCGAAGGAGAAGGAGGAGGAAGAGCGAGCGAGCTTCTGCTTGACTTTACATGAGTTGCCCATCTGATCCGCGCTTGCCGCCTGCTTACCTAGTGTAGCACATCGCCAAGTCGGACTACACTGTATTGTGCAAGTACGCCACCATCCGAGGATTCAAGGAGCGATCCCTAAAACGACCCCCCGTGGCAGCGTTGAGGGGCAACGATAGGGTGGGACTGGCACTGGGGGGAAACATCGATCTGGAATCGGCGATGCAGCGCCGATAGATCGGCGATAGGCCCCCGATCGTGAATCCGCATTTTCCTGGGCAGGTCGCGGCTATCGGCCCCCCTATCGGCGATCTGTTGGCGATTGGGGGTCGATGCGCCCCCCTATTCTGGATGTCGGCAAGGGGTGTGGCTTCAAGGGGGTATAGTGGCAATCGTGGACATGGCGATGCCACCTGCGATGACTGGCATCGCAAGATTCCCCTGTGCATGAGATTCGCACCACACCCCTTTATAGAATACCCCTTTCCTACCGCAGGAACGCCCGCGTGAGAGATTTATGCACAGTTTTCCGTTCCCATACACTTCTTACACCGCCACCCCCATAAAGCGGATTCTTGCGAGACGCCTCTCCGATGGCGAGCTCCGCGCACTGGTTTGGATGGTGTGCCGAAGTGCCCCTTCACTGGCGCAATCGTCTTGTTTCACCCTGCCGCGCGCCGTCTGGCGCAAGGCTTCTGACCTATGCTTATCCTATCCCTATCTCTTATCCTATCCCCGGTCGCCCCCTATCGCTTATCCCCCTTATCCTATCCCCCCTATCGCTTATCCTATGCTTATCCTATCCCCCCCTATCGCTTATCCAGACCTACGCTCCTACCTACCCCTTTCCTACCTCCAGACCTATGCTTCTCCTATCCCCCCCTATCGCTGCCCCTGAAGTGTGGACGGCGGCGGCGGCGGCGGGCCGAGCGCGCGCGGGACACACCGCGGGGCGGCCCCTAGGCGCGGCGGCGGCCCCCCGCGGGGCGGCGGCCTCGGGCGCGGAGAAGTGCACGAAGACCGCCCCGGGCGCCAGCCCGGCGTTCTGCGAGCAGCGGCGGCGCGGCCCCAGGGAGAGGGAGGAAACCAGGAGGCAGCTCCTCGGTCATTCCTCCTCCTCCTCCTCCTCCTCCTCCTCCTCCTCCTCCTCTTCCCCCTCCTCCTCCTATCGCTCAGTCCTCCTCCTCCTCCTCCTCCTCCTCTTTCTCCTCCTCCTATCGCTCATTCCAACTCCTCCTCCTCCTCCTCCCCCTCCTCCTCCTCTTCTTCTTATTATGATTATGCGTTTTCTTCTTATTCGTATCATGTTTCGTCTTATCATTCTTCTTCTTAATATTATTATTGGTATTATTATGATTATTCATATCATTATTAGTATTATCATCATTTCTATTATTATTACTCTTATTACTATTATTATTACTACTGTTATTATTACTATTATTATTACTATTATTCGTATGTTTATTATTATTATTATTATTCTTATTAGTAGTATTATTGGTATTATTCTTATTATTATTATTAGTGTCATTCGTATTTGGTATGAATAGTAGTAGTATTAGTATTAGTATTGCTTTTATTATTATATGTATTAGTATCGTTCTTATTATTACCATTATTATTCTCATCCCCCCCCCTCCTCCTCTTAGTCTTCATGTTATTATTATCATTATTATTAGTAATTTTATTATTGTTAGTATCCTTCTTGTTATTCTTACTAGTCGTCGTATCACTCTTAGTGTTATTATTATTATCCTTCTTAATATTATGAGTATTATTACTAGTATTAGTATTCGTATTATTATTAGTGTTAGTATTATTCATATTCTTATTATTATTCGTATTAGTATTAGTACTATGTTTCGTCGTATTCGCATTCTTATTATTATTAGTATTATGCGTGGTAGTATTGTTATTAATAATATTATGCGTCTGCTTCGTCTTCTTATTATTAATATTGTTATTATTGGTATTACTAATATGTGTCGTCTTCGGCGGCTTCTTCTTCTTGTTCTTATCCTTATTAGTATTCCTCCTCCTCCTCCTCCTCCTCCTCCTCCTCCTCCTCCTCCTCCACCTCCTCCTCCTCCTCCTCCTCCTCCCTCCTCCTCCCACCTCCTCCTCCCACCTCCTCCTCCTCCTCCTCCTCAGCAGGGCAAGTGCATGGTAGCCCAAGGGGCATAAAGCCCTTGGGAGCCCCCCTCAACATTATCCAACCCGCCCAAAACCATGTCCGCCGCGATTCGAAGATACGTTGAGCAGGGACCGACCGTCCGGGCGTTCCCGTAAGCCTACCACGAAATGTTATCAGAACCCAAACGTGTGCGAATAACAAAAACAAAAAGATTATCATAACATAGGCCCAATGGTTTAAAACAAGATTGTCTCAGCCATACATGATGTAATAACAGTTCCTCTAGACCACAAAACTGTTTAGGATATTACTTGGTGGGCCTATACGCAAATCAAGACGCGTCGCCACTACTTGATCCGAGGTAATCAGACTCGAACGTTTCCCTATCCCTCGGCTCCGACGTAAGATGTGGCACGCCGCCCCATTGTGGCACGCCCCTCACACGGTTCGGGAGCTCCACCGAAGGCCCCAGCGGGAGCGTCCGCATGGCACCGCCGCCCCATTTCGGCACACCCCTCACACGGTTCGTGGCCCCATGGGGAGCTCCACGGAAGGCCCCAGCGGGAGCGTCCGCATGGCACCGCCGCCCCATTTTAGCACGCCCCTCACACGGTTCGTGGCCCCACAGGGAGCTCCACCGAAGGCCCCAGCGGGAGCGTCCGCATGGCACCGCCGCCCCATTGTGGCACGCCCCTCACACGGCTCGTGGCCCCACAGGGAGCTCCACCGAAGGCCCCAGCGGGAGCGTCCGCATGGCACCGCCGCCCCATTTTGGCACACCACTCACACGGTTCGTGGCCCCACAGGGAGCTCCGCCGAAGGCCCCAGCGGGAGCGTCCGCATGGCACCGCCGCCCCACTTTGGCACACCACTCACACGGCTCGTGGCCCCATAGGGAGCTCCACCGAAGGCCCCAGCGGGAGCGTCCGCATGGCACCGCCGCCCCATTTTGGCACGCCCCTCACACGGCTCGTGGCCCCACAGGGAGCTCCACCGGAGGCCTCAGCGGGAGCGTCCGCATGGCACCGCCGCCCCATTTTGGCACACCCCTCACACGGTTCGTGGCCACATAGGGAGCTCCCCCGGAGGCCCCAGCGGGAGCGTCCGCATGGCACCCGCCGCCCATTTTGGCACACCCCTCTCACGGTTCGTGGCCCCACAGGGAGCTCCACCGAAGGCCCCAGCGGGAGCGTCCGCATGGCACCGCCGCCCCATTTTGGCACACCCTCACACGGTTCGTGGCCCCATGGGGAGCTCCACCGAAGGCCCCAGCGGGAGCGTCCGCATGGCACCGCCGCCCCATTTTGGCACACCCCTCACACGGTTCGTGGCCCCATAGGGAGCTCCACCGAAGGCCCCAGCGGGAGCGTCCGCATGGCACCGCCGCCCCATTTTGGCACGCCCTCACACGGTTCGTGGCCCATAGGGAGCTCACCGAAGGCCCCACGGGAGCGTCCGCATGGCACCGCCGCACCATTTTGCCACCTCACACGGTTCGTGGCCCCACAGGGAGCTCCACCGAAGGCCCCAGCGGGAGCGTCCGCATGGCACCGCCGCCCCATTTTGGCGCGCCCCTCACACGGTTTGTGGCCCCATGGGGAGCTCCCGAAGGCCCCAGCGGGAGCGTCCGCATGGCACCGCCGCCCCACTTTGGCACGCCCTTCACACAGTTCTTGGCCCTGCAGGGAGCTCCGCCGAAGGCCCCAGCGGGAGCGTCCGCATGGCACCGCCGCCCCATTGTGGCACACCCCTCACACGGCTCGTGGTCCCATAAGGAGCTTCCCCGAAGGCCCCAGCGGAGTGTCCGCATGGCACCGCCGCACCATTTTGGCACGCCCCTCACACGGTTTGTGGCCCCATAAAGAGCTCCACCGAAGGCCCCAGCGGGAGCGTCCGCATGGCACCGCCGCCCCATTTTGGCACACCACTCACACGGCTCGTGGCTCCCATAGGGAGCTCCACCGAAGGCCCCAGCGAGAGCGTCCGCATGGCAACGCCGCCCCATTGTGGCACGCCTCTCACACGGTTCGTGGCCCCATAAGGAGCTCCACCGAAGGCCCCAACGGGAGCGTCCGCATGGCACCGCCGCACCATTTTGCCACGCCCCTCACACGGTTCGTGGCTCCCATAGTGAGCTCCACCGAAGGCCCGAGTGGGGGCGTCCGCATGGCACCGCCGCCCCATTGTGGCACGCCCCTCACACAATTCGTGGCCCCAGAGGGAGCTCCACCGAAGGCCCCAGCGGGAGCGTCCGCATGGCACGGGCCGCGCACGAGGCTCGAGCGAAACCAAGAAGACTCCCCGCTCGCCCGCGTCAGCTTTTCTCTCCCTCATGCACGCCGCAGTCCTTGTTGCTGCCCCTCCATGGTCGCCTCTCCCTCGCGGTACTCGCAGCAGCATATGGTTGGGTCCTTCGTCAGGCTAATTTTTGTTGGTTCAACCTTCCCCAGTTGAAAGGCTCAGGTTCTCATTGGGATTGAGCTGGATGGAGCGGGACAGAGCTGGATTGAGCGAGGTCCAGCTGGATGGAGTGGGACTTTTAGGCCAGTTCACGACCAGGATACCAGCGTCGATTCAGAACGAAACCTCTCCCATGAGTTGTATCCTGTGGCAAAGGTGAAGGTCAAGGCGCTGGGGGAGTCTGGCAGGGCGTTCCTAGCGGTACGCCTCCCTGCAGATGTGCATGGATGCAGGACCACGCCTCCACTTGCATGGGGCCGAGGCCACGGCTGCGGGAGCACCCTGAACGGCCAAGGGCCAGGGGAGAGGAACTGGAGGAGGGGGCAGGAGGAGAGAGCGGCCTCTTTTGGGGTGCAGGCGGGCGCAAGGCCGAGCGGTCCACGATCAAACGGAATATCGGACGCGCACATGAATCAGACTCGTCGCCTGGAGGAACCGCTACACGCGTCGAGCACCCGCCTCGGGGGAGGAAGGAAGCACGGAATGAGGTGGAATCACGAGCATGTCCTTCCAGACCAAACCAAATACTTGTGTTGGCGTTCCCGCGATGTCCAAATATCGAATACCATTCCGCTGGATCGGCACAGGAATGCTGAGAGAAATCGAGACGTCAACTTGTCACTGAACCTGATTTCTGAAACACGCATTTATCTTCGGAAAGTGAGAAACGACGATCTGTAAAACTCCTCGGCATGCTCTTTAACAAATGAAATGGTCGAACTCAAATTGATTGTCGAGCCTGTTTTGCCGCGCGTTCCGCCGATGCGCGTCCCGAAGCGGAGCTAGCCACCAACGACCAGAAGCAGGCCTGGGCAGCTGGGACTGTGGCCGCACCTGACTTGCGCACGGCCAGGGGGCGGTCACAGCAGGGATGGAAGATGCCCTTCATACGATCGCCTCCCCAAGTTGCCTATCTCAGCCCTGCCCTGCTTCGGTCAACCCATCTGGTTCCGATGAGTTTGATGGCCAGAGCTCTCAGGGACTGCACGGTCCAAAAGAGCAGAATTGTTCCGCCGCAGCACGGCAGGGGCAACCCGCACGGGCGCTGGCAGAGGTCGGGGACGCTCGACGAACTGGGTGGTCCGGATGCAGGAGCGGGGCGCGGGAAGGCAGGGCGATCGCGGAGAGAGCGGAGCAAGGGGGAGGAGGGCGCTCACTGGCGAAAGATCCACGTCGAGCGCGCCAGAGCGGCCAGCAGGGGCGGTTTGTGGGCCTCTCGGGAGCATCCTGGGGGCCTCTTGTTGGGGGCCTCTTGTTGGGGGCCTCCTGGAGCCTCATGGGGGCCTCTGGGGGCCTCCGAGGGCCCGTCGGAGCCGAAGGCTCGACATGTCCGTTCGGGTTCCCCATGTGGGCCTCCTCTGGGGGCCGTCTTTGGCCCCTCCTGGGCCGTCTTGGGCGCCTCATGTGCCGTCTTGGGGCTCTCTTGGGCTGTCTTTGGGCCCTCTTGGGGACGCGGGGCGGCGTCACGGCCACATCCAAGGACCTGAGCCAGGCCTGCAGGCGCTGAAAACGTGGGAGGCCAGGTGCTAGCAGCTAGCAGTGAGTCAGCACAGAAGCCCCAAGGCGCTGCCAGGGATGAGAGTGCCATGCGATTGTTCGTCACGTGTTTGGACACCCGAAATGGGTACGGGAAAAATGGCTACAATGCCCCAACGACACATGCTGTCCAAAACCAACAGCGGCCGCAGTTGGACAGGCGGCCTTCTGTCTTCGATGAACAACGTCCGCGGCGGCGCGGACAGAGAGCACTGTTCAAAATGAGCAGAAACTGTTGTTGGGCAATGTACCCGTTCTTTTCGTACCCGTCTGGTTCTTGCCAAATGCGGCCACGTTTTGTCAAGCTGTGCTGCGCCGGCGGCTGCTGGATATGGGGCAAGGACCGGGTCCCAGCGGCAGCGCGCGGTGACCGCGTGGGGCTGAAATGCCAAGGTATGATCGGCCGCTCAAAACATGAAAACATGGCACCTTTGTCGACTTGCTCTGAAGATCGATGATCGGCATTTGCATTTGTAGGAGACAACCTGCTATAAAACAAATCTTGGTCGGCTCGCGTTCCTCGGCCTTCTGCAGAGTACGTTATCTGCTCTCAAAGACAGATACCACGGACTCGTTGAGAACGACAATATGAAAGCAGAGGATGCGAACCAGTCAATATTGCAATCGATACGCATGCCCACGGGCAGGTGGTACGTAGCAGGGTTGTGTTCCGAACGTGCCCGAAATTCGGGCCGCAGAGTTGTCCTGAGAGATTGGCGAGAAGAGGAGACCGGATAACGAGACGAAGGAAACGAAGTATAGGCGCGATAACTGTCAACGGATGGTCCTGAGCCTGGCAATCCGCGCTCTACCTGCTGTCGTAGAGAACGGACAACAACTCGGCGCCATGAATTTGCTAGACCGGTAAGGATGCCATAATGCGATTGGCTAACGAATCGCACCAGGAATCCAAGAGTATCTGCTGGCCGTCGTCTTTGGAACCCGTGCGGAAGAACAGGAGACCTTGTAAAACTGGGGAAGCACCATTATCATGACATAGTGCTGGACCAGGGCCGACAATCCCAGCATTCCGATAGGCCCACTTACCACGACATGTTCTGATGACGGAAGAATGTAATTACAAGGCTCCTGGAACCGATTGCTGAAAACAAGGCTGACTCACCAGGAAATGCTCCAAGACCATGTCGTGCAATCCACAAACATGATCTTGGAGCATCATGTGGTGGGCCTTGGGGGAACCAGCAAGCACCGATACCGCTGCTCCCTGGTCACGGGGTGCGCTCTGACCAAAATTTCGAGGCGAATCCAGCGGTGGCGACAATTAGAAGGGAAAAAACACACAGACACAAGCAATCGTCGACTCCCAGAAAAATATGGGAAAATATGGGATGTGTGTAGGGGGGGGGGGGAAGACGAAAATGCAACAAATCTTGAAAAATATAAGGAATCCTGTCATTTGTGTGTAGTTATTTGTGTGTCCTAGGGCTCCTTCAGACGAGGGCCTCCCCGGAGGCCCCGAAAAAAGGGACGCCGAGGGAAAAATAAAAGCACCGGTGCCGTTCCTCCCCTGGCCTGCCGGCAAGCCAGGACGCTTCGCCACTGCCTGACTTACAGCAAAGCTGAACCTAAACGGTGTTTTTCGTTTTCGTTGTGTTTCGTTGTCCCTCGTTTTGTCTTCAATCCGCCTTTAAAGCAAAACGAAATCGAAACGAAAACGGACCACGAAATCGCCAAACCACCGTTTAGGTCCACCCCTGACTTACAGGAGGAGCTCGAACACAAGAAATCTTCCACGAGAAACCCGACCCCGAGACCCCAGGACGTCCGCCGATGTTTGGCGCGGGATCGTCGCGCTTTTTCCGTCGCAGAACCATCGAGACCCAAGGAACCCAGGGCACCCTGGAGGCAAGCAGGGTGTTCCTTGGCATGGATTCTCACTGCACCCCCACCCGCCATCGATTCTCCTGCACCGATGGGAGGCGGGGGCAGGGTTCGGATCTCGCCACGCGCTCGACGAACTCCGAACCCTGCCCCCGCCGCCCATCGACGACCTCCGAACCCTCCCCCTGCCGCCCAGGGTGTCTCTTGGCACGGGCCTCCGCTGCCCTCCGCGGACGGTCCGAGGGGACCTGGCCCGCGCCCCGCCGGGGCGGCCGGGGCGGCGGCGCTCCCGCAGCAGGAGCGCGAACTCGCCCCCGCCGCGGTCCTGCAGGCTGGCCTGGAGGTCGAGCCCGGCCACCCTGCCGGCGGGAGAGCGGGCAGCCGTGCGGGGCCGACTCCCGAGAGCCGCGGACGGGCGGCCTGGAACGTCTGCGCCGTCGGCGGGGCTATGCAGGTGCCAGAAGCAGTTTTTTGTTTTGTTGGTCGGCTGTCTGATGAGAGCCGCAAGGAGGTGGCTTGGCGAGAGTTTCCTAAAATGCGCATGGTGATGGCAACGCCCATCGCTTGTGTGGCACGGACCCGCCTTATCTCTCTACATCAATTGCATCACCGAGAGCGCTTTCGAGGTGAAGTATCCCAGTTCGGCCCCCCCAGAAGCCCTGAATCAAAAAGTGCGGACGCCTCGCTTTCCAGAGTGAGGGTGCCCGAATGGTCTTCCTTCATCCCTGGGCGTGCGTGGCCGTGGTTCTCGAGCGCGAAAGATACCCGTACCCTTACCTAGACAGGGTGGCAAGGGGCCGGGGGGGCGGTTCGTCGCAGCTGACGGCGGCTGCACAAGTGCAGAAACGACAGCCGATCGAGAATTACAGACCGCTGTCTTCTCGGGGCGCACGTTAGCACCGATCGCACGTGCGCTCGAATCGGCGGAGTGCCCGACCCTGCGTTGGTTGTTGTCGATGTAGACCAGCTACTGCGGAGGCGCGCCCCCAGACACACATCCGGGTGTTGAGGAATCAACGCGCACTCGGGGGCGCATGCGAACAACTCTGGCGCGAACGTCATTGCGCGACGACCGCCTTATCGCGAATTGCTCGATGCAGAAACATCGCGAATCTGTGCCCTGGGCGAGGTCGCCAGAGGCCGCCCCCCTTGGACGGCCGTCTGCGGATCACCCCAGCTAGGTACGGTTGCCCCATGAAAACCCAAAACACATACCCGTACCCAGCCGGGGTGCCGTAGCTCACCCCAGCTAGGTCCGGGTATGTTTCGGTTGTTTCAGGCAGGTCCCCGTACTTAGCCGAGGTGGCGGCAGGCCCAAAACGCTCTCGAGCACATATCATGCCCTCCAGAGCCGTCCCCGACGTGGCCGCTGCGGCCCCCCTGGGGGCGCGACATTGCAACGTCGTTCCTCAGGGCAGGCCCAGACGCATTGGTTGCCAGGATAGCGAGGACATGCAACTCTTTATCGATTGGGACAAGCGCCGCCACATATGGGCGGTTTTGAACCGCGCACGCACCACGATGCCCCGAGACGTCCCTAACAAAAACCAGCGCTTGTCGCTGCAATCAGACATCACACCATCGAGCGCGCCGTTGCGTCTTGACGCGCGGATGCTGCACTGGCGCGCGCGGGGCAAGCTGACCGGGCACAATAGCAAGCGCCCAGTCCCCCGGACGGCCCATCTCACCTTGGCTGGCCCCGGGTACGGGTATCTTTCGGACCAACGAGTGGTGGGTCCGCGTCTGCTCGACGAGGCGCCCATCTTTGTGCGATAAGTTGGGAGCCCGATGAATCCGTGTGCGTCCCGGGGGCCGAGACCCAGCGAGAACGTAAATTGTGACAAAATTGCGACGCCTGGATCTAAGGGTGGACGAGGGGTCCTGAGCGGGGGGTCCTGGGCGAAGAGTCCTTGGCGAAAGCTTTCTGCACCGCCGCACACTCACTCTTATACGCAAGAGCAGGGTTCTACATACAGGGAGCCCAGAAAGGACGTATGCGCAAAAGCACGTGCATGAACACGGCCCCCAAATCTGCGAGACCGGCCGCGTGATACAAACGTTCCCGCAATGCGCACTCTCGAGTCCAACATGGATTCATGTACGTTTACTTTCTTCTTCCGCTCCTGAACATACGTCCACCGCCGGCTTCAGCCTGCGGACCCGCTGCGGCTTCACTCAATCCGCTTGCCACCGAGGAGCAAAAGGCAGCTTCTGGATCCCTCGGTGGCAAGGCCCTTTCGAGAACACCCCATATCTGTGCCCTCCGCGCAAACAATCCCAAAAGCAACTGCCACTCCTAGGACGAATTTCCGAAGCGCGCTGGCCATTGAGAATGAACTGGCCCGCCATACTAGCGACTGTCGTATCCCTGCTGGTCCGAATCCTGGGCTGGATATGGTTGGAGTCGAATGGGCGAGGAACAGGGAGGATCAGTGCAGATGTCCTCTTCCGACGGGGCGACCCAGGACGCTGGTAGCGGCTCAGAAATTGCGAGCGGGCACGAGAGGAGTGAGCCCCCACCGTTGAACCCCCGCTGGTTCCAGTCACTGGGCGGCGGAGAAAAGGTTCGCACCCCGTCACTGAGGCACATGCTGAAACTGCCGCCAGTGAACATCTGCCAGACCTGCCAGACAAGACCCGCTGGGCGATCCAATGGGGCTTGAAGCGTGAACAAAGCCAGTGTCCACAAGAGGGTCCCGACCCACCCAGGCGGCGGCTGGGTCGGCTCGGTCGGTAGTCCCTGTGGAAAAGAACCCCTAGGCGGGAGTCGCCAATACATACTTGATGCTGAACCTTCGGAGGACCTTGTCTGTTCCATCGCGCCGCTGTTCACGTCGGGTCTGCGTCGGACCGAGTTCGGATCCGCGAATCCTCATCGAATCAGCGTCGAATCCGCGTGGAGTCCACGTCGAATCTGCGTCGAATGCATGTCGAACCCGCGGCGGATACTCACTGGCCCCCTTGTGTGTCCATGAGCCTGCGAGGCGGTGGCGTTCCAGTTCCATTCACCAGTTCCAGTTCCAAGGTGTAGTTATAGATAATAGTTGTCCGCCACCGTGGCTCTGGGTACGGAGAGGGCGTGTTGTCAAGTCCTTTGCCTAATAATCCCTGGAGCCTCGGTCCTCAGTCCTGAGGAGTCTTCAATGACCCCGGACACAAGATTCGGAAAGCTCCCCGGACTTCCGGCGTGTCCCCTGGGGTTCACGACATCTTGCGCCCAGGAGGCCCCAAGAAGCCCCCAAGACCCCAAAAGGCCCCAGGAGGCCTCTAAAAAGCCCAAGAGAGGCCCCAAGATATCCCAAAACGGCCACAAAGAGGCCTCCAAACTGTCTCACCGAGGCCCTCGAGATGCCCCCCACGAGATCCCAACGCAAATCCGAGAGGCTTCCTTCCCACAGCCCAGGCACGGTGGCGGGATGGGCCGAAGGCCATTCGACCTGCTTGGCACGGGGGCGGAAAGCGCAGTTACTTTCAGAGCGCGAGATGTCGCTGGTTTGCCCGTTCTTTCTCTCTGTCTCCCTGTCTGGAGGCTCTCTTGCATATTGGGCGCCCTCTAGGGCTATCTAGAAGCCGCAGGAGGCCTCTTCAGGGGGAACTAGGGCGTGTTAGTATCTTGGGAAGGCACTAGAGCGCGATAAAACACGTTTTGGGACTCTTGGGCCGTCTTTGGGCCAACCCAGTCCCTACACCCAAGCAGCCCACACCCCATACCGCCTCTTCGGGCCCGCTTGGGAGCCTCTTGGGGCCCTCTTTAGGCTCTCTTGGGGCCGTCTGGGGGCCCTCTTGGGCCGACTTGGGGCCCTCTTGGGCCGTCTCGGGGCTCTCTTGGACCTTTTCGGCCCCTTTTGGGGGCCTCTGTGGCCGTCTTGGGATGATCTTTAGGGCCTCTTGGGCCGTCTTGGGCCCGTCTAGGGGCCCGCTTGGACTGTTTTGGGCCCCTTTGGGGCGCCTCTGGGGTCATGGGACGAGCTTTGGGGCCTCTTGGGCCGTCTGGGGCCCTTCTGGATTGAAATGAAAAAGAAAGAACCCGAAAAACATGCAAAAGCCCAAAGAAAATACATCTGTTTGGCCTCCTGAAGCCCTCTCGGGGGCCCTCTTGAGGGCCTCTGGAATCGTCTCAAGTCTCTCTCGGACCGTCTGGAGGCCATGTGAAGGTCTTTGGGGGCCGTCTTGGGGCCCTCTGAAGCCGTTTTGGGGCCCTCTTGGGCCGTCTTGGGGCCCTCTGGCAGATTCACCCGAAAAATACAAAGAAATAGGCCATGGGAGCCGCCAGGGAGCCGCTTCACCCGAGAAAAAACCAGGGAAACGGGCCATCAGACTCTGGGCCCCCCCCCCCGCCACCCCCCCACACCCCCCCTTGTTAATTCTCCCGACTAACGGATCGCGACGAAGCGCGCTTTCCGTCATCCACCGTCCCCTGTTGGCTTGCCACAGAGGGTGCCTGGCGTGCTAAGCCCTACTGCTTTGGTTTTGGCTCTTTTTCCAAAAGAACTCCCGCTGGGGCTCCTGCCCAACGCGCCGGCCACCCGGAATGGCTCGCCCGCTGCACCACTGCCAAGATGGCCTCCACGACGGCCCCAGAGGGCTCAAGATGCCTCCAAGTTCGCCCAAGAAGCCTCCAAGACGGCCAAAGATGGCCTCAAAATGATGGCAGCGGGCTCAAGAGGCCCCTAAGAGGTCTCCAAGGGAGCCCAAGAGGCCCGCAGCCCGCGAGAGCAGCGACGGTTTCGCAGCTCGCAGCCTCCCCCGGCGAGACAGGAGGCAGGAGGCAGGAGGAGGAGGAGGACGAGGAGGAGAAGGAGGAGGAAGAGCAGGGAAAAGAAGAGGAGGAGAGGAGGAGGAGGAGGAGGAGGAGGAGGAGGAGGAGGAGGAGGAGGAGGAGGGAGGAGGAGGAGGAGAGAGGAGAAGGGAAGAGAGGGGCAGGGAGGGCGGGAGAAGTCGAGGGCCGTAGGGCTGTTTTGACCCAGAAGGAAAGAGAAAACCCAACGCGGGAGGGCCGGGGGACCACCGCACACCGGCCCCGCTGACCCGGCATGGCCGTGCCCGTGCTGGCACTCCGAGCAGGGGGGGCGGCCGGCGTGCAGAGGGCGAGGCACCCGACGATGTAAAACGTATCACAGGTCATGGCAGGCGCGCCTTCTCCCTCCCCCTCCTCCTCCTCCATCTCCTGCTCCTCCTCCTCCTCCTCCCCCTCCTCCTCCTCCTCCCTCCATCTCCTCCTCCTCCTCCTCCTCCTCCTCCTCCTCCTCTTCTTGATCAATTTAGCCGGCGCAGCGTTTCACCCTTTGCTGTCTGTGATTGCTCGACCTTGTTTTCCTGCCCACGCGCCGGACGGCGTATGGCTTGTGAGTGAGTGACTGAAATGTGCCACGACACGTTGTGCGGTGGACCACGGGTAGCAACTGTGCGCCGGGGAGCTCCAGCGCAACAAAGCGAAACGGAGAAAACAACAGAGACCAAGGCAACGCCGCCGCCCCCTCGCAAACGCACAGACCCCCATTGGAGCTCCAGAGGCACATGGCCCCTGATTTTGACAGTATGTTTGCTTCGGCCTTCGGTGAAAAAAGCTCCCCACTCGTGAGACCCCCCCCATGCCGCGCCCAGTGCGCAGACGCCCGAACTCCTCTGGAGCAGCCCCTGACGCCTGCCACAGACGACCCATATGCGCGTGTCGTGCTCGTCGTCTGGATCGCCGTATCAGTCCTCCTCCTCCTCCTCCTCCTCCTCCTCCTCCTCCTCCTCCTCCTCCTCTTCCTCTTGCACGCCGCCATGTGATTGTTATTGCTCTACTTACTGGGAGTACGGCCATGCAATGCCGATTCTGGGTCTCCTATTTACCCCTGGCGAGCGAAGGGCTAGGCCAGATTGGGCTGGCCAGGGTCGGTAACTATGGGAACACAATTGGCGTCTTCACTATGCGTCCAACCCTCCTGTACAAATAAGAACCCTCGCGCGCTCCTGCAGAGCCGGGACTGGGGATCCCTCTGGCCGCCATCCCCACAACCTCCCAAGAAGGCTCCTGAGCAACTTCGTCAGGCGCGGGAAGTTCCGGCTGTTAATGCCAGCTATCTCCCGCTTGGGCGGCTGGAACCCCCCTGGCGGCCGCGTGCGGCTGGTGAACGAGGAGGACCAATCGCGTGAGGCCAAGCACCACGCGGAGGAAGAGAATACAACAACCCAGAGAAAGGGAAACGACAACACCAGATAGGAATGCTCTGACGGGGAAGTGCAAAGCAGTAAGTGTGTCAACTGAAGACCTTCGCAAGGTTAAGGCGATCGAAAAACTAGGGCGCTGGCCCGTCCGCTCGCAAAAGCTCTGACGGAGAGAGAGGACGAGGAAGAGTTGTTTGACAGGACCCCAAGGTGAGCACCTCCACGGCTGGGCCGCCAGCAGGCTGCAGCTCTCGTGGACCGCAGCAGCTCAAAAGGCTGGGAGACGCAAACAGCGCCCACAGCCGCCTGAAAGCGGCGGCTTACAGGTGGTAAACGTGTTCTGATTCGGCGTTTCGACATTGGGCGGAAGGGTGGGGGGAGGGGGGGGGTCTGGCTCCGGACCTCTGCTTAGGTCGACTGTTTGCAGCAGTGCGTCCTATAGGGGAGAGACTCCACCTGCCTGAAAGAGGCGCCAAAAACTGCCAAGATCTACTCCAGGGGGTGGGGGTAGGTGGGGTGCGAGGGCCCGCGCCGATCGGCAAAACAGTGAATAAGAAAACGATCACGTGCAACAGGAGAAGACGCACCAGGAGGCAAGAACATAACAAAACGCAAAACAAATCGGACTCGCCAAGCACTCCGCGGCGGATGCGCGGGCAGCTCGTGGCTGCTTGCCCTCTCTGCGGAGCGACTCTGCCACCAGCGACAACTGCCCGCCACGACGCCCTGATTTCATCTGAACAGATCTATCGTCTTCATCCTTGTGAGCGTTTTCTTTTTCGGCATTCCGACATTAGGCGCAAGGGTGGGGGGAGGGAGGGGTCTGGCTCCAGACCTCTGCTACATGCAACTGTTTGCAACAGTGCGTCCCGTGGGAGAGAGACTCCACCTGCTTGACACAGGCGCCAAAATCAGCCATTGGCTGATTTTGGCGCCTGTGTCAGAGAGTAGATCTTGAAGATCTACTCCAGAGGTGGGAGGTGAGGGGGGGGCGAGGGCCCGCGCCGAACGGCAGAACTATGAATTAAAAACCGGCGACCTTCGTCTTCATCCATCGTTGCCGCCTCAAGGCATGATGTTTGCCGCACCTTCTGTGCTTCGAATGCCGCTGGCCCTCGGACTTCAGTGTTTGGCAGTATCCGTTATTTTTCCTGCCAGCGCGTTTACTTGAGAGCAAGGCTTCTGTCTGTGGGGAATGATAGGCAGTAAAAGTACCCCTAACCCTTTGGAAGAGGACCTAAGTCAGGAGAGCCAAAAACATCAGGGACAGGGCGCCTTTTCGGCAGACGTATCGGACCAAACCGCCGAACTTCATTATCCCCAGTGATGCGTGGGACCTCAGTGAGGCTACGTTTTCATGGCGTTATCAGGACTACTCCGAGTTTCTTAACAGACGTCGGGGGGGCGTCACCCCCGCCGACGGCCCCACATCGACCCCCGTCGCGGGCAGCCACCGCGCGCAAAAGGCGCCCCGACCCCGCCGTCGCGGTGCGAAGACGAGGCGAGGTTGACCCCCGTCGGGGGGGGAGCCCCCCACGCTTATTATAATATTAAGAAACCCAGAGTGGGGGTAGGGCGCCTGTTATGCAGATGTATCGGACAAAACCGCCGAACTCGAGTATCCCTAATGCAAAGACGGGGACCTCAGTGAGGCTAAGTCTTCATCGTTACCCTCGATGGGAGCAGGAGCTCTCGAGCCCGTTCTGCAAACCATTTCGCGCCGCAAGCGCTTCTCTGCGGGCCCCACGGCTCGAGAAGCGCGCCCCTGGGGTAAGGTCGGGCACGTCCTCCTGCAGGCGGATCTTGGAAGAGAATGAACAATTGTCAAATAGCACCCAAATATAGTCAAAGGGCACGAAAAGTCGTCCCCAAACCATGGCTTGCTATTCTGGAATATTCCTCCTGTAGAGGGACCTGCCCGACTCAACTCTGGGACGCCCAAGCTAAGAGAAGAAGGCAACCGCCCGGAGATCTGCGGGACGACGCCGCTCTCCCCGCGAGCGCACACCCCTGACCCTGCACGGCGAGACGCGGCAGTGGAACCGGAAAGGGCCCAGGGAGAACACAAATTCCAGGACTCCCCAGACTTCCAATATTTGATCGTGAGCGTTTTCTCATTCGGCATTTCGGCATTGGGTGGAGGGGGGGGGGAGGGGAGGGGGGTCTGCCTGCGGACCCATGCTTAGTGCGACTGTTTGCAGCAGGGAGTCCTGCTGTGCCGAAACTCCACCTGCTCGAAACAGGCGCCACAAACAGCCAAAATCTATTCGGGGGGCGGGGGAGGGGGTGCGGGGGCCCGCGCAGGTCGGCAAAACAGTGAATAAGGAAACGGCCACATTGACATTCTGATTCCCCACCGTGTTCCATATTTTCCAAAAATACGGGACGTGAAAACGACCACAGCCATTGCTTTTCTTTTGTTGCCGCCTTCCAGCCAGCAGAAACAAAGCAGTGGTTGTGGTCATTTTCGTTGGGCTTGGCACCAGGGAAATGACCGCAACCACTGCTTCTTTTTCGGCCGGCTGGAAGGCGGCGCAAACAAGAAGCAGTGGCTGTGGTCATTTTCCCGTCCCGCAAAAAAGTTGTCATTGAGAGCAGCGTTTACTTGCGTCTGTGAATATATTCCCTTCTGAGAACTGACCAGCTGTCAGGAGGGAGACATCAGGGCTCCGTGAGCGAGGCGAGGCGAGGCGAGCGCGAGATGTCGGTCCGGCGGGACCGGCCCTCAGAGGGCAGCGAGGGGGGGCCAGAGCCCTCAGGAGACGTGTTGGCGGCAGGAAATGGAGCCGGAATCGGCGGAAAATCAGGGGCTCCGAAAAAACTGAAGGGGCCCTGGGACGCACAAATAAATACACACACACAAATAACCAGATTCACCATATTTTCCCACGTTATCTGGGTTTTGTCTTCCCCCCCACTTCCTATATTTTCCCATATTCTCTGGGAATCGACGATTCGTTGTGTCTGTGTGCTTCTTCCCCTCCTGGATAAAAAAACAGGACTCTGGCGCACCCGAGAAGCCTGCAGCTCGTGGGCCGGCACCTGCTCCATTCCCCGTGTCTCCTCCCGCTGGAGCGTGCACAGCGCGTCCCGGTTCGCAGCGCCCTTAGGGGGCCACGAGCGGACCCTGCCCCTACAGTTACACCCCCACGATTGCTGAGGGGGAGGGTGGGGTTCACTGCGTGCGGGAGCTCCCGAGCGAAGTGAAGCCCACCCTCCCCCTCAGAAATCGTGGGGGGTCGGGGCAGGGTTCGCACGTGGCCCCCTGGCCCTGGCAACTTGGGCCCCCGCTGACAGCCTGGACCCACGTGTCCTGCCCGGCCAAAACCGACCCGCCAGGCCTCGTGAAGGGGGCCACGTGCGAACCCTAACCCCTACACCCCCACGATCTCTGAGGGGGAGGGTGGGGTTCACTTCGTTCGCAGGGGGGTGGGGATAACGGCAGGGGGGGCGGGGGACATGAGCCCCACCCTCCCCTTCAGAAATCGTGGGGGGCAGGGGTAGGGTTCGCATGTGGCCCCCTACTCATGGATCGCATCGCGAAAGCGGGTCGGATCGGAAACCGGTCGGATCGCGATGTGCATCGGCGCGGAATCGGATCGGGACCGGATCGGGGACCGAGGATCAGGCTCGGCCCATGAAGGCTGGCGAGAGAATCGGTTCGTGTTCGGTCAGGCCGAGATCGGAATCGGATTCTGGGGATCGGATGCTGCAAATCCGTGTCGAGGCGACCGCGGCGCTGGTCTCTAACACCGCGTGGATCGTTCGACCTCGAACAATCGCGCGTTTACACATCGCCAGATCGCTCCAGGTTGGCCGACTCTGGGCCACTGGCGGCGTGAAGCCTTGAACGCCCGCGTTGGGGTCGCAGCCGCGTCTGCACGACACGAACCTATATTCGGCCGGACCTGGGACAGAGGAGCACCCTTCAAGAACATGAGACCCTCCGCTGGCCAAACTGAGGAGCATTCGAGGGTACCCTCCCCCAGGATGCACGAGCACATCCAACAAACAAGAAGAGCATTGGGACACCCGCCCCGAACCGACCTCGATCGTATACCTCGGTCCGACCGCACCGCAGGGGACGCCCCCTCTGAGGTCCGAAGGGTGGAGCGCTCCCCGAGCGCAAGAGGGCGGCCGCGCGCTCTGCGCAGCTGCTGGCGATCGCCCAGACGCGGGCCAAGGGACTCCGTCTGCCTTCGGTGGCACCTCGCGGGAGCCTCCCGTGCCCTTCTGCTGGCGCTCTCGAAAGCGACGCTACCCGACGCCAGTCGACGCTCACCGAGGCTCATCGACGGCAAAGTGACGCTACTTCGGCGTCCCCTGCTCGACTGCCAGACGCTAGCGCGCGCCAGTGCGCTCTAAGGACGGAATCGCGTGCAGATACAAAATTCCCACGACTCGCTACCGAATCTGCCCTTCTAAAAATCTAGAAACCTCAGAAACCTCCAGACGACGGCCGCGCCGAGGACCTCCTCCTCCTCTGCTCTTTGCGTACCGCCCCCCTGCGCCTCCTCCACCTGCGCCCGAAGAGGGGACGATGGGGGAAACCCAGAGGAGGAGAATGAGGAGGAAGAGGAGGAGAAGGGGGAGGAACAGGAGGAGGAGGAGGAGGAGAGGAGGAGGAGGAGGAGGAACAGGAGGAGGAGGAGGAGGAGGAGGAGGAGAGGAGGAGGAGGAGGAGGAGGAACAGGAATAGCGATAAGACGGCGTCTGTAAAAATACTTGCGCGCCACCCCGTGAGCTTGCCGACGCAGAAAGCGAACCCGAAGGCGGACACCACGACCCAGTACTGCAACTGAACTGGCAGTATCAGGAAGCGCGAGGAACGATACCGATATCTCGCACGAGTACCTCACACCAGGATCGACCGAATTTGAAATTTACTCCTTCCCACAAGCCACGGAAACAACAAACAACGATACAGAGGTACTCGCATCAT